GTCTGTATTTCCAATTTCCATTATAAGTTTTATCTACAGTGTATGAGCTGATATGTAATGAACAGGCCACATGTTAGACCTGAGAGACAATCAGCAATTGCCCATCCTTCTCTTTTTCACTCTTTTTTTAAAACTACAACTTTATTAAGATACTAGAGGCCTGATGCACAAAATTCATGCAAGAGTAGGCCTTCCTTCCCCTGGCTGCTGGTACCGGCTTCCCTCTGGCATCGGGACCCAGACTGGCTTCCCTCTGGCATGGCTTTGTCTGGTCTAATTAGCATATTACCCTTTTATTATTATAGATACTGACAAGATTGTTGAATATCTTATGCTGAAAATTGGACTAAGAATTCATTTTCTAAGTTAGACTGATTTAGAAAGGAGAAAATATTTACATAATAAAAGTGATGAAAATAATAAACACTCAGAAACATTTTGTTAAGGAGGCTGGATTTTACTCTAGTGTAAAGCAGCATCCAAGTCCATCCCAAATCTCAACTTTGATTAGTAATCAAACTCAGTGATGTGGATAATCAGACATGACAGAAGGAATTGATTCTTTGTCAGGGCAATACAACAGTTTACTTCCCAGTATTTTTCCTTAAATTTATATAATTTTTAATCTTCAAACAGAGACATTTAAAAGAATTAACCAAATATAGGAAAACGAGTCCTTTCTTTACAACATTCAGCTTTATAAAAGGACAGAAGACCAGCAAATGTACATTTGAAGGACTTTAAAACTATTTTACCTACTGCCTGGACAAGCTAAAAGATTCTCTAGAGCGAGAGTGTGGTAGGTTAATGTATTTCACACTGACCCAGCAAGTAATGTATGCAATATCACTGAGAACTTTGTCTATTGACATAGCAGGGCAAAGAGGACTTCCCCTGCGGTTTACACCTTCAGAACTTTTTCAATATTCTCTGAATCATTGATGTGTATTTCTGCAGAGGTTCTCTCTCCTCTTACCAGCAACTCATTTTGTTTAATTAAAAACGAACAGAACGTAGACACTAATAGTAAATTAGCAAGCACTAGTGGTGATTTATAATCCAGGGTCAAATTTAACCACAATAGTAGCAAAGAAAGAAAGTATATTTCTCATGTTAAGAGCAAAATTAGTAGGCAGTTCTCATAAATGACATGCAAATAGTTGAAGAATCAGTGTAAGCTATGTTAATGATTTCCCTCTCAATGTTATCTTTCCCACCATCTTTTATTCTTTCTAATGCAAATTTATTGACTTTTCTTTTTTGTGCATGCCCTTTCCTGAAGGGCTACTTTATGCTAGATATTTTTCTCTAGTCACAATATGTGAAGGATTAGACCAGTACTTTCTTCTTCAGTCTTTTTCTACCTATTTTCTAGTTACCCTGAATAATCATAGTGAAGCACTTACATTTTATTCAACATACCCTTCTATGTCATCTCTCTGTCATCACCATTTATTTTTTTTCTTTCTTACTTTGTCCATGTGAGGAATGCTAACTCACCTCCCATTGCCTGCTGGATCACAATCCCTTCTGATGAGAATGCACAAGTCCTGGAAAATAAAATTCTGTATATCTAAAGACCCTGCTCCATCTGGACATAGATGAGACATAGATCTGGACATAGATTAGGATTGGTGGTGAATACAACTAGCATTGATTGGATTCTCTTTCCTAGGAATTTGAATGTGGTTTACTGAGAGACTGTACAAATCAGCCGTAGACTGTGCAAAACATACCTAGAGGGGCAAAACTTGTGGTGGTCATAGGAATGAAAATTGCCTTGGGTGGTTTTGCTCAGTGGCTAGAGCGTCGCCCTATGGACTGAAGGGTCCAGGGTTCGATTTCAGTCAAGTACACATGCCTGGGTTGTGGGCTCGATCCCCAGTAGGGGGTGTGCAGGAGGCAGCTGATCAATGATTCTCTCTTATCCTTGTTTCTATCTCCCTCTCCCTTCCACTCTGAAATCAATAAAAATATATTTTTTTAAAGTGAATATAATTGGTACCAGCAAGCCAGTTACATGAAAAGGGAAATAATAGTAAAGAAGAAACTAAGAATCTTGAAGAAGAGAAGTGAGAATGAAACCCATCTTACCATTCTTTTAACATCCTATATAATAAAAGGCTAATATGCAAATCAACTGAATGGCAGAACAACTGGTTGCTATGACATGCACTGACCACCAGGAGACAGATACTCAATTCAGGAGCTGCCCCCTGGTGGTCAGTGCACTTCTGCAGGGGGAGCACCACTCAGCCAGAAGCTCAAGGCTGGCGAGTGCAGTGGTGGTGGCAGGAACCTCTCCTGCCTCCACGGCAGTGCTAAGGACCCCTGGGGGGATATCTGCCTCAAGAGCAGGCCTAAGCTGGCAGGTGGACATCCCCTGAGGGTCCCAGACTGCAAGAGGGCACGGCTGGGCTGAGGGACTCCCCCCTGCCCAGTGCACAAATGTCGTGCACCAGGCCTCTAGTTGTTTCTATAAATGATGACCTGTTAACTAATGTGTGACTGCAGCTAGCTTGTTTGCTTAAGAGTTTGAGGAACTAACTTCAAAAGAAGCAGACTCCATCCTTCAGATATTTGGCTCTGGGAGATTTGCTGACCTACACCCAGTTATCTGAACTGACTATTTTGGCTTTCATGTAGAACTCTCAAACCCCTCCTTTTTAAAAATTTTGCTTCCTCCTCCCTCCCTACAAAAACCCCTGTCTATGTCCAATTGTTAAGATGGTCTTTGTGATGATAGTGCCTCATCTTCTCAGACTTCCGACTCTTGTAGAAATTGATTTTTCCTCCCACCAGCCCAGCCGTGAGCAAACAACGGCCCGCGGGCCGGA